TCTTGCTGGAGTATTGATCAATACAAGCATTAATCGGTGCATTCACTGCTCACATAAATGCTCTACTAAAGCACTGACCAAAACAGGATGTATACACTGTTTACATCAGTGATACTCAATCTTCCAGCCCCGCCCAGCTAAATAAGTGGTACAGGGGTGACCCACAGGCCAGATCCTGTGTGTGAGGTCAATCCACAGGAGCAATCTGGTCACACGTGTCAGCCCGACCCATATGCCAGTGTAATCTAGCACACCAAGCCCCAGGGCTCTGCCCAGGCCTGAAACTTGGGCAGCAGGGAAGTGGTAATTAACATTGACACCCCTGCTGCCAAATTTCTGGACTGTGGGGAGCCCCACAAGGCGGGATGGCACTGCTCCTCTGGCTGGATTTGGCCTACAGGCTGGAGGTGGAACACCACTGGTTTACAAAAAAACCCGAAAATGTATTCCTGTAAGATCAGACTGCAAAGACCCCTGACAAGGCTAACTGTTTAAGGTGGCTGGTCCAGAACACACAAGATAACAACAGGATGTCCAAAATTAGAGTGATCCAGGAAAAAATGGTAATGTTTGTTAAAATACATGGTACAGGAAATGTCTGATGTAAACAATCTGAGGTAAACAAAGTTGTTTTGATCAATGTATATAAGGGGAACAGGAAACCCTTAGAACTTTTTAGCCTGCAGCAAGGATGCCAAATTTATCCAGGTGAATTGTGCTAATATCTTGCCACAAGTATCCAGGGCTAAGACCTTTTAACCGTCTGGCCATGTGCATTAGTAAGTGCTTTAAGTAATGAAACTGGCTAAGCCTTTACCACCAAATCGAGCCAATGGTCATTCTTCCTACAGCATCAAGGTCTTCAAAGGAACACATGCTGTGTACAGCAGCAGCAGCACAGACAATACTCTGACAGTGTCCATACATAGAGAGCAACACTGACCAAACAAATGGAGGAACAACTTCAAGTATGTTTTTCTTGAGAGCATGGTCTGTGTGTGTTTATCTGTGTATAGTATAGATACGCAGAGTTCGTATCAGTAGTACAGAAGATAAGAACTCATTATTCAATATGGCTAAAGAGCTCGAAAAATAAAACTAATATGCATTATAGGTTAGACTGAGCCTTTAAACTCACTCCTGAATGTGGACTGATAGGTAGCTGCACCAGAGAAGATTTGTGCCTTGGAGAGATCCTTTCGAGGCACAGCTCTTCAGACTCCAAGGCAGATCAAGGAGGGAAGTTTTGTTGTGCCCATTTTATTCTCTTTTTTTTACTTTATTAACAGATCCAAATTATCAAATAAATTTTATATTTAAAGATATATCCAATCCTCTAAAATTTATATAAAGACAGATAGCTATCTTTAGTACCTATCCTAGTCTACAGAGGTTTTTATAACTCATTACAGGAGTTTCTGCAAATGTATCTGCACTACATAATGCAACTAATATCCGTCACATGGTGCTGTTTACTCATCCACTCCCTAGAAATGGACATATGTGCAGTAGAATTTCCTGTTTTTGTAGTATGCAGTTTGTTTGCATTTTGTTTTTTGTATTTATGTTAGAGGTGGCCAAGTGAAAGAAATACATCTTACACTTGAAGTGAATGGGGGTACATGTTGTGATGGTCCTTTACTTCCTGAGGTGATCATCCTGCATGAGACCAGCCCCAGAGAAAGCTCTGTCTCTATACAGATGAGTTTTTCCCCTTTACTGGAATGCTTCATTGTGCCTGAGAAGCAAAGTTGTCAAACAGCATCTGCCCTGAAGTTTTAAACAATTTTCAAAATATTCTAAGCTGGGACCATGGATAAGAAGGTAAAGGCCAAGAACTAGCACTTGATTTGTTATCCTATGGAAAATCAGTGTAAAGATTTAAAGATGGATCAGATATACTCATAGTTTCATTGCTGAAAGTTGCTGCTCTATTTTATGCTAATTCCATGCTGAAGGTAGGGCAAGGTAGTACCTCAAAGGTTGCCCAGCTCAGGCAACTTTTCTAGTCAACAACTCACTTCACCAGATGCCATGCACTATGGTAGTTCCAGTTTCCTAAATGCTGGAGGTTTCTTAACCAGGCACAGTACACTGCCGTAGTGCAGCTAGATGAAATAAAGGCATAAATAACTAAGACTAGATCCTCATCCACTAGGTTGGGAGACAGCCTCTATGCAATGCTGGCAGAAAGTCTTGTTTGTGGATGCTACTCTATCTGAACTTAGCAGTAGCAAGGAATCCAAGACCGGTATTAACCTATGGACTGAACTGATCAACTGGGGGTTTATGCCTTGAACCATTATTCTTTTCTCCCCCCACCAGCATCAATACTTTAACAAGGCTACTCCATCTTTCCTTGCTGCCTCTCTACCCACTTGCTTGTGAGGGGATTTGCCCTCTTCTCCCTCATGCTAAACCCTGACCTAAAATTGAAGCAAGTTCAACATGGCCTGACAGGGCAGATGGAGGCTCTTTGGCGCCATTCTATAAGCACAGAGGAGCAGACCACATCATGAGTAGAAAACCCAAGAACTGGAGATAATTAGGAAACTAAAGAGGAGAGTTGGAGAGGGTCACGCCATTCTTAAGTGGAAGACACCAGTGGAACATCCGTGGTGGGTCACGGTGCCATGGCAAGGAAATTTGGTACCCAGGGCAAAGCCTGCAGTGGCAGCCCACCCCTTGCCACATGCACGGATCCAGGGAGGCACATGCCCCACACTTGCCTGAGAGTGCACCCAGCAGTGGGAACCACCCTCCCCGTCACCGCACCCCCTCATTTGAGCTGCTCGCAGCTCTGTCCCATGCCCTGCCCTGGCTGGGCAACGCCTGCTGGCATCCCTTCACTTTGGCACCAGGGGTGGTCACCCCACTCGCCCCTCCCTTTGCTACAGCACTGGTGGGTCGCGTACAGGAAAAGTGATTTCTTACACGAGACCACTTCTCTTGTACACTTGTCGCTCGTTTTCACTGCAGGTTACAGAACTGCAGGATGAGGAAAGAAACCGAATGAAGGCAGGGTAGATTTACACCTTATAGAGTAATGTGTGTGGGTGTGTGTGGGTGTTGCTTCCCTGCCAAGAAAAAGTGCAAGCCTGGCCAGTTCACTCCAGGGAAAAACACATTAGCCCTACACACACACAGGGCCATGCCCCAGGACAAATGCTTGATGAACCTGGGGGGCTCTCCTTAAATGCTGCTTTGTGCAGGCCCTTTCACAGACCACAGTTAATTTGGCTTTCCATTGGCGTAACTAAGAATAGATATTCATAGTTTCATAGTTTCTAGGGTCGGAAGGGACCTGAGTAGATCATCTAG